GGGTTTGGGGTTGAGGGTTTTGGGGGTTTCAGGGCTTCAGAGATGTCGGTTGGGTAGTTGTGGCCTCAGCCGGAAGCCTGACTAGGTACCAACATTTCTGGGCCCCTAAGTAACCCGAAACCCTAAACCTGCTTGATTGTATAGTTATGCGACTATCGACTCCGAAGCCCGGTTCTGATCATTACGGCCCTTGTAGTGTGGGGTTTAGGGTGCAGAAGGTTAGGGTTAGGGTTTAGGGTTTAGGGTTTGGGTTACATTTTAGGGGTTTAGGGTATGGGCTCTCGGGTTTTCATGGATGTTGATGGCTCTGCCTGACGGGACGGGGTTTACCGTTCCCAAGAAGAAAAGGGAGACGCAACCCAAATGAACATCCGGTGTAATATAGGGGCCTAGAGAGTTACCAATAGTATTTGTTTGGGGGGGTTCCTTGTTATATGTTATAAGTATAATGGGGGCCCCAGGGGGATTTGGAAGCCCAACAGAATTTCTTATAGAACCCTTTAAATTGCCCCCCCCAAAGCCCTATTCTAATCATTAGGGCCCCTATAGTTAGACCTTACAGCATAGTACCCCGGAGAACCTTTACAGGAGCCCTTAAGAGGAGTCCTATTCGAACTATGACGGCCCCTAACCCTAAACCCTAAACCCCTAGCCCCTAAACCCTAAACCGTAGCTGTCGGCCGTGTGGAGAAGAGCAGAAGCTCTGAGATCCTGGTTTAGGGTTTAGGGTTTAGGGTTTATGATGGCTTCTTCTGTGGGTTGGACGGTTGAACGCCGCTGCCCAGAAGACAGTGGTCTAGGGTTTAGGGTTTTTTTAGGGTTTGGGGTTTAGGGTTTGGGGTTTAGGGGACCTCACCATGAGGTCAGGAGCGAGTGTTGAGTCCACGGTTGAAGGTATGTTGAGGCCTCTTGCCTCTAAAACTTGTTTCCACTCGCCTGGGCCTACAGTACCTGTGCCAAGCCCCATGCTCGAAATCCAAACTGACATCTCGCATCAGGCCTTTCGGCATGACAATCCCCGATCGCTCACTTCTTCGCGCATGTATCCCGACCTTACCGTGCCATTGAAATGTGGCTACCTGGATATCAGCGTCCACAGCGACACTCGGTTTAGGGGCGGCGAAGCTGGTATTCCGGCATTCCCTAACCCCCCAACGCCTAAGCCCTAAACCCCCACACCATTGCAGTGAACATGGCGACAGGAACTCGGGACGGCATTGTGGAATTTGGGGCTCAGTGTTCTTCGGGCTTAATTTTTTGAGTGGTTTCTTACGTTTCAGGATTTCTAGAACTTGTGGGTTTAGGGTTTAGAGCTGATAAGGTTTAGGGTTCACAGCCGATACGGTTTAGAGTGTAGCTTAGCAGGTCTGACCTGCCTCTCGCACCGTCTAATCTAAACCGTCCGGTCCAGAAAGTAACCCAAAAAAACTCATCCCTAAACCCTAAACCCCAAAATGGGAGCAGGCAGAGAGGACTTGTGTACTGAAACCCTTCAGAGCCTTCTGCCAAAACAGGGGGCTCAACCCGACTGGACTCTGAAGCCCAAGAGCTAAAGGCTTTAAACCCAGAGGTCTCGGATCCCAGCCCTAATTTCTAATCCCTAAAACCCTAAACCCGAAACCCGAAACCCCGAACCCAAAACCCTAAACCCTAAGCCCTAAACACTGAACCCTAAATCCCAAGCCCTAAGCCCTAAACTCAAAGCCGAAGCCCTGAGCCCTTTTTCTTCCCATCGGTTCAAGGCGGCGCCGGCCCGCTCCGATCGGACTGCCGGGGGGCGGGCCCGTGGTTGCGCCAGCCGGGAGGCAACTGTTCGGGTATTTAGGGGCTTGAGGGGTTAGGGTTTAGGGGGGGGGGGGGGTTGCAGGTTTTGTAGTTTTTGAGGTGGTACATATTGCGGTTTAGGGCCCAGCGTTTGTTGAGAGTTTTGGCATTCAGGTTCGTGGTCCTGTTGGATGCTGGTTCGGGATTTGGATTCTGACTTAACTCAATCTGCAGGCTCTGCACTCCTCACAGATTGTATGCACCATGACAAAAACTTATGCATGATGACAAGGACGACTGCTTGTTTGTGATGCTTAGTCGCCCTGGGCCTTGTCTTCCATAGAGTTCTACGTTTGTCATAACCAGTGTTTTGCCTTCGCGCTGTTGTGATGGCTAGTGCCGCTCTCACGTCCATCTGCCGTCGCTCTGAGCTTGAAATGTTCGTTATTGCTCCAGCCATGGACTTGTGATGAGTGCCATTGGTACTGGAGCCCCGTTACAGTAAACCCCAAACCCTAAACCCTAAACCCTAAACCCTAAACCCTAAACCCTAAACCCTAAACCCTAAACCCTAACCTTACAGTAAACCCCAAACCCTAAACCGAGTTCTGAGCACGAGAGAATCGGAGCTTCGAGCTGGAGCCCATCATGATGGCCGGTTAAGGGCCTAGGGCCTAGGGAGATCAAAAATAGTTAATCAGCACAGTTTCCTTGTTATGGTAAGTTAAGCTAGGTTCAAAACCCTAAACCCTAAACCCTAAACCCTAAACCCAGCTTAGTGCTTAGGGTCCTTTTGCTGCAGTGCGTCTGATGCTCTGGCTCCTATGGTAAGTTCAGTCGAGGCCTGAGAAGCCCTCCAAAGCTAAACCCTAAACCCCTATAGGTTTAGGGTTTAGGGTTTAGGGTTTAGGGTTTAGGGTTTCCTAAACCGCAAGTTCAGACCCTCAGCCGCAAACCCCAAGGAACCACTCAAGCCTAGCCCCCAAAGGCCTAAGCCACTGCTTCCTGCCCCTCAACCTCCATTATGCAACGTACGTGTGCTCGCTCGGCAACCTTGGTGGCTGTGCTCCTCGTGGTCCACATTTTTGGATTGCTCCGGTCCGGCTGGGTGACCACCACGCGGTCGGAAGTCCAAACGGAAGACCCGGAGGGACTGGGCCTGTCCCTGATCGCCCATGGCTCCTCACCCGAGCAGGCGTCCGAGGAATTTCGAAAAGCCGGGCTTGGCCGACCCGGTGACCTCCTCTTAGACATCTTGCGACTCAACCGTGGAGAGAAGGTCAGCGAGACTTCGCGGGTGAAAGGTCCACTGGAGGACTCCAGCACCTCGCAGTTCTTTGAGGCGGGAGACTGCTGGAAATCAGGAAATAACTCCTGGAGTTGCCTCCCAAGTTCCATTTTGATCGGCGTGCAGAAGGGAAGCACTGGCGAAGTGCTTCGTTGGCTAAGGTTCAACACGCAACTTTGTGTGTATCTGGGCGAGATGCACTTCTTCGACTATCACGGAATTGGAAAATATTTGAGGCTGGACCAGGGTCGGAGGGATGCAATCATGGCTGAGCTATATGATGCACTGCACGACTCGTATCAGCACGAGGAATGTTGCTATTATAAAGCGACTGCAGCAGAATACTCGAGCTTGAAGAAAACCTGGCGGGAGGAGTATGCACGGAAAGCATGCAGCATGACAAGCGCCGACATGTTGCGGGGCAGGCAAGTTTGGGAAAAGACGCCCAGCTATTTCGACCTTGTGGACCCCTTGCTAGTTTCGAACTTCTTCCCAAATGTGAGGCTGGCGGTTCTCCTCAGAGACCCGGCAGATCGATTATACTCAGGTTATTGGAATGGCTGTGTGACGACTTGTGCAACCTGTTGCAGTGTGGACCTGTTCCGGCAACAGCTAGAACATGTCGCCGACATGAAACAGGTGAAAAAGCTACGCAGAGAGACGCAGGGCTGGAATTTCAAGCGGCAAGTTCTCCTGGGTTTCTATCACAGGCATCTGCGCAAATGGACTGATGCCTTTGCTGCTGCTCCCGGGAACAAGCTACCAATGTTGATAATGTTCAGCGAGAACTTCAAGACAGATCCCTTTCATGTTCTGAGCGAGTACGAAGAGTTTCTGGGCTTGGAGAAGACAGACTATACGGCTCGAGCCACACGTTTGCCCAATAACTTGTATGCCGTGGCGAATGACTCGAAGGCGTATCGAAGTCATGCGCCGGGTTATGAGCCACTGACGAAACCACTGCATGATCGGATTGTTAAGCTGTTCTACGCCGATCCCAACAGGGCCTTGCATAAGCTTTTGCTTGAAGAGCCTCCCAGAACACGATTCCGGGTCGTGGCGCCACTTCCCGAATGGCTGCAGGAAAGCAAGCTTCCTAGGCCGCCCAAGTTGTCTACACGTCATGAGAACATAATGAGCCCTGAAAGAGATCCCTCGTTTGAACTCCCCTGTTCCACTGAGCTCTTCCCGTGTCACTGTTTTTTCTCAGTGGTTTCCTGCGTGTGGCTACGATTATTGTGATCTCACTGAGGTCGTCGCTGCTGTTGGTTCAACATCAACACTATCGGACACTAGAACTTGCCGCAGGCTGTGTCATCATGAAGGAACCAGCTTCGATCATTATTGCTCTCGTTACTGCAGCAGCTGCTGCTGCTACCGTACTGCTGCTGCTGCTGCTGCTGCTGCTGCTGCTGCTGCTGCTGCTACTGCAACTTCTGCTGCCTCTGCTGAACGACCGCGACCAGATGCGACCAGCACCACCAGCACCAATGCTCCTACCGTCACCATGGCCCTGGTTGCTCTTCGACTTCGTAGAGGCCAAAACCCCGAGACCCCACACACGAAATCTGGGTTCTTGTTAAGGGATTTAATTTAAGTTACCATAACAGGGATCTATAGTAAATAATATGGTTTCCCTATTATGGTAACTTAAATTAAATCCCTTAACAAGAACCCAGAAATGCTGGTAAAGATGATTCCTCCTTTCCTCCTAAACCTTGAAGTCTTACAGTCGTTCAAACCAGCCGTGGAGAGCCCTTCACCCTCAACTCTCGAAGCCTAAACCCGAAGCACCCCATGACAAAAGGCCCCAAACCCTCAATCCGACGCCCCAAAGACGTCAAAACGCGAAAGGAAGGAGCAGAGATTTCTAAACCAAACCTCGACAACTGAAGAACAAATGAGGGTTTAGGGTTTAGGGTTTAGGGCCTTCCGGCACCCCAGTAGAAACCCGACGGGAACTCTTGCAGAAGCCTGCCACGAAACTCCCAAAGATTCGATGCCCAACCCTAAATTACGACAAACCCCCAAGCCCTCCTAAGCCCCCAAAACCTAAACCCCAAAACCCGAAACAACACCTAAACCCGAAGCCCCCAAAACCCAAATCCACTAATCCCCTAAACCTCTTAAGCCATAGACCTCCTAACCCTTGAGTCAGAAGCCCTACATCCCTCAACCCCGGGAAGCTAAACCCTACTTAAAGGATCATGGGACTTAGTAAGTAGGGTTATAACTGTTATAACTAGGATAACTATACTTATAACCCCAATTAAGGGGCTTATAACCTTACTTACTAAGTCCCATGATCCTCCAAGTAGTCCCCTAAACTCCCAAGTGCTGAGCCCCTAACCTAAACCCTTAAACTCCCAAGCCCTAAACCTTTAAACCCCTAAACCCCCTCAACCCTACAACCCTACACCCCCCAAAAACCCCTGAGCCCGAAGCCCCTGAACCCTTGGACCCTAAAGCTTCAAAACCCCAAAACCCTAAAACTCCTAAACCCTAAACTCCTAAACCCTAAACCCTAAAACTCCTAAACCCTAAACCCAAAACCCTAAAACTCCTAAACCCAAGGGCCGGCATCCGTGCCCGGGAGTTCGAAGATGCGAAGAGGGAGCTCCAGTCGCGGGGAGAGGCCGCGGGGCTGAAAACGGCTTTTTTGGGGTTTGAGGATCCCTTACAGGGATCAGGGCTTGGGGTTTAGGGTTTAGGGTTCTTATAAAAGGGTCCCTTAACCAACGTTTTTGGATTAAAGCGTGTTTTGGGGTTTGGGGTTTCGGGGTTTGGGGCTTTGGGTTCAGGGATTGGGGCATCCGGGTTTATGGTTAACTACTAGGACGGATGCTGTACGGATTGGGGTTGCCATAAGGGCTGCTCATGTAAGGGGTTCTTTGTCAAGGGGTACGGTCTGGGTGCCGGGGTGGTCTTCGGGCGAGTTTTAGCGCTTGGGAATTGAGTTCTCAAAGAGTTCTTGTGGGCTCTGGAGGGCTTATATGATAAGGTTATTTACGAGGGTGTTTCAAGTTGTAGGGAGACTACAGTGGGTACTAGTCTTATTAGTCTAAGTGTTGCAATCAGGGATACCTCAACATGTTAGCCATATGCGGGCGCTGTAGGCTGTAGGGCTTTAGGGGCTTGGCTTAAGGAAGCTTTATGCGTTCTTTCGGGAGGGTTTAGAGTCAGAGCTCTACCAGCGATTGTGGAGGAATTCAGGGAAGTGGGCTGTTGAGATACAGGATTTTGAGGGTTCTTGATTTTTTTTGGCCGGCTTTTGGGTGGGGAGCTTGCGTGTGTCTGGTGCTCAAATCGGGCTTGTCTCGGTCGGTTCAAGGCTCAGTACTAAGGTGGTCTTCGGCTTAGGCCGTACAATTTTCGTGGCTTGGTTGCGTCAGCTTTCGCACATCCGGTCGATGGCTTCGTCATCCGGGCGCCCGAGCCTGTATGTTGTTGTTGATCCGTCATAGGTGCAAAAGTTCATCGCTCTTCCCTGTCTTTGTTGTTGCTGTTGCCTGAACCCCATAGCTATAGGCAAAAGACGTACCCAGATCTTCCAGTATGTTTCGATGTAAGGCCTAAGGCTCCAGGAAGAGATCCTGCTTGAATTTCTGGGTTCTTGTTAAGGGATTTAATTTAAGCTACCATAACAGGGATCTATAGTAAATAATATGGTTTCCTTATTATGGTAACTTTAAATTAAATCCCTTAACAAGAACCCAGATTTAGGCGATACATTTGATGAAGGTGTGCTTGGGAGATCTGGGGGACACAGGGGTCTGAACTATATAATCGATGCCTCCGGCCCCTACCCAGCCCCTGGTCTAGTTCCCTACAGAGCCCTTTTAAAGGCCCCCCTGAAAGACTCCCTACTTAAAGGATCATGGGACTTGGTAAGTAGGGTTATGATTAGGGTAACTATACTTATAACCCCAATTAAGGGACTTATAACCTTACTTACTAAGTCCCACAATCCTCCAAGTACTCTACTTGTAGCTATCAAGGCACCACTTTTTGTAGGCGTCCCGCCTTGAAGCAGGCCATTGACCCCGAAGCCGTGGTCACCTTCGAAGCCTGGCAGGCCCTGCCGGCAAGAAAGGGGGTCAAACTACAGGGGCCCTTGGAGATTTGGGCCTTTGGGTTTCGTGGTTTGGTTTGGGCCCTGAGGTTTGGGCCTTTGGGTTTCGTGGTTTGGTTTAGGGTTTCGGGTTTAGGGTTTAGGGTTTAGGGTTCTTTGGGTTTCGTGGTTTGGGGCCTTGGGATGCTTCGGCTGCAGAGTGGGGACGGGTCGAGGTTCGAGTCGGGCTCGTTTTGATCTCCTGGCCAATATGAGTCGTTAGGCCAAGGATGACTGCAGGAAACAGTAGGCTTACGAGGTTCGTTGCTTTCTTGCTTTTGGACATTAGGGCAGAGACTGAGTCTGTTTTCTTCCGGCAAGAACTTGCAGCATAGTCATAGTTCCTCTCCCAACCGTATGGCTGATGTTTATGGCATTATGAAGATGCACAGAGTCCAACAAGCCCGTGTTTGGTTGTAAAGATGCCCGGCAGGAGCTGCGCTTCGGCATAATATAGAAGTTGAAATAGTTATCCGTAACGCTACCTAGAGTTACTGATTACAAACATACTTTTCACCGGCCCCAAAACCCTTTTCTAACTACCGAGGCCCCTGCATTATTCTTTCTGACGTTTTTCCATAGTACTCTACACCCCTACAGTGCCGACCTCGGAAGCCCTAAGCCCTCAACCCTAAACCCCAGGCCTACTTCATGGCAGTCTCTGTGGGTGTCCTGCGACTCGCTCAGCTGTTTTTGATGCCCGGTGCTTGTCACGAGTTTCCTTCTTCGGGTTTGGGCTCCCGTGGCCTTGACCTGCCGTAACAAAAGGCCTCAACAATTGCCACTACTATTGTGGGGGGTCCTTTGTTATGATTATAGTATATAATATACCCCCCAAAGCCCTATTCTAATTATTCAGGCCCCTACATCAGTTTCTGCTGAGCTTCATGGCCACGCTTGGTTTTTCTCTGCTTGCAGCTTTCTGAGTGTCTGCTCGCAGTCTGTCTGATCTTGCGGTCTAGTTCGTACCCATATCAGCTAAACCTGTAGCTGCGCCAGGTGTTGTAATAAGGCTGTCTGTCTTGATGGAGGTGGTGCAGCAAGGAATCATCTAGTATCCTCGCAAATACTGCTGCTGTGATTGATAACAATGTTGCTAGTACTACTCCTCCTCCTACTACAAATGCTACTACTCCTACTACCAATATGAATGATAATACAAGTACTACTACTCCTACTACTGCGACTACTACTAATAACAATACTAGTAATAATGCTGCTACTACTACTACTACT